GTGTGTGAGCTGTGTGTGAGCAGTGTGTGAGCTGTGTGTGAGCTGTGTGTGAGCAGTGTGTGAGCTGTGTGTGAGCAGTGTGTGAGCAGTGTGTGAACTGTGTGTGAGCTGTGTGTGAGCTGTGTGTGAGCAGTGTGTGAGCAGTGTGTGAACTGTGTGTGAGCTGTGTGTGAGCAGTGTGGGAGCCACTGTTGAGCTAAGGGACTGGGACTGCGTTTAAAATTTTCTCTTTATGAAAGTTCCATTTAAGTAGTAAATTTAGTAGCCAGTTGGCTCAGCATGCCGGACCACACAGCTCAAGACAGCATCTCTGACTCAATCTGTCTTCTCAAGTAGATCCCATACGTATATGACTCCTGCTCAGACTCCAGATGACTAAGACATCCAGGACAAGTCACACATCCAGGACCCTCTGGAAGTGACTTTTATTTGGCGTGTGGTTTTGTTTGTTTATTTTGAAACAGAGTCTCATATAGCCCAAGCTGACCTCTAGCTTGCTATGTAACAGAGGCTAGTTTTGAGCCCCTGATCCCCCTGCCTCTGTGTCCCAACTGCAGAGACTACAGGCATGTGCCAGCACGCCCAGCTCTCTCTAGGAACTGTTAAGTTGTTTATTTTGTGTGTGCTCCTAGGTGCAGGCCACACTGCCCGGGGGCCGGTCAGAGATCAACTGTGGGAGTTGGTTCTCTCCTTCACCACATGGGTCCCAGGGATCAAACTCAGGTTGTCAGGCTTGGCGGCAGGTGCCCTCAGCTGCAGTGTCATTTCGCTGGCCCTTCTAAACCCTCCCCCCTCAGTCAAAGCTGACGTGACTTTTGAAGTATTTCCTTTATGTCGTCTCTAATTGTGTCCAATCCTGTCCCTGAATACAGCTGTTCCTTGAGCTGGGTCTCAACTCACCTTCTCAGGGAGTCCTTTTCCATTCCCCAGGCTGGGATCATCAGTGTTGTTCTGGGTTACGTGGTTTTAAGACATGATACCTGTTTTAGGGACAGGGCCTGAATCATGGTGGTGTGCTGAGGAACTTCCTACACCTGTCAGAAAAGGCGAGTCTGACAGTTGTGAGGAAAATACCAGCGTCTTCCAGTGACCTCTTAGAGAACAAGCACAGCACTCCCCCCCACACGTGCACATGTACACACACACACACACACACACACACACACACACACACACACACTGAACTTCTCAACTGGGGTTTTGTGTTTGTTTGCTCTGACAGGGTCTTGGTATGTGGCCCAGGCTGATCTCAGCCTCCTGACCCTTCTGCCCCTGTGTCTACAGTGTTGGGATTACAGGACAGGACAGGACAGGACACCACACCTGACAACTTGTCCATTTGAAAAATGAGAACAACACGTCCTTTGAATTGAATTGGTGATAGAATGATTTTGAGTGTAAAACTGAACAACATAGAGGAAGGGTCTTATAAAACTGCTGTGCAGAGGTAACATCCTTATGTGAATTACGTTCCCTTCAAAGTCTGCTGAAAGGCAGGCACAGCTACACAGGCCTCAGGTCCCAGTGCTCAGGGCCTGACTCAGGGAGCTTGCTGGAGACTCATCATGCAAAACCAGACTGAGCAACACAGAAAGTTTCTATATTAAGAAGGAAAACAGACAGACAGACAGACACAGGGATAGTAGACCAGGTATGCCATCCCATCACTTGGGACATGGAAACTGGAAGATCACGAGTTCAAGGTTATCTTTGGCTACATTGTGAGTTCAAGGCCATCCTGAACTACAAGAGACCCTCTCTCCGAAAACAGGAAGGGTGATAGAGAGATGGCTCAGCCAATACAAGTGTGTGCCGCTTTTGCAAAGGACCTGAGCTTGGTTCCCAGTAGCCGTATTGGAAAACTCACAACCACCAACTCCTGCTCCCATGTCGGGGCTTGGAGAGCACATGTATTCATATGTGTGAACATACACACACAAAGACACACACACACACACACAAATAATAAAACTATCTTAAGAAAAAAACAAGAAAAGTGCTAATGATTTAAATTTCAAAAAAATTTGCTTATCTTTTGAGACAGGATCTCTCTATGTAGTCCTGGCTGGCCTGAAACTTGCTACATAGACCAGGTTGGCCTTGAACTCATAGAAATCCTTCTGTCTCTGCCTACCAGGTACTAGGATTAATAAGCATATGCTACCGCACACAGCCCTAAGTATTTTTATTACATTTATTTATCTGGTGGTGGGAGTGGCCTACGTCGCCACAGATTGCGCGTGAAGGCAGAGGACAACTTGCAGGAGTCAGTTACTCTCCTATCATGTGGGTCCAGATTGAACACAGGTCATCGGGCTCACCAGCAAACACCTTTCACCCCTGAGCTGTCTCATCTCATCAGCCCTAATACCTCTTTGTATCTGACGTCTTCCCAGCTCGTCCAGGAAGAATGCAAACAGAGAGGAGCATCCAGTCTTTGGGCAACAGATACAGGCAAACCCCCTTTTCGTACGATGTCAAGCGAAACGTGTACAATGAGGAGAATTTCCAGCAGGAGCACAAGAGGAAGGCTCCCTCTTCCGGGAACGTGGATGTCAACATCACCACCTTCAAGCACAATGTCCAATGCCGGTGTGTGTACTCAGCCTCTCAATGGCCACCAAGCCAGGCAGGGGCGAAAGCTAACCTGACTCCTTTGCAGCCCACTTATGTTTCTCTGTCTTCCTTCTCTGGATTCCTGTTGTCTGAACCGTGCTGTTTATTGTGTGGTTTTGTTGTTGTTGTTGGCTCTGTGTGTGTGTGTGTGTGTCTGTCTGTCTGTCTGTCTGTCTCTCTGTGTCTCTGTGTGTGTGTATGTGTGTGTGTCTGTCTGTCTGTCTCTCTGTGTCTCCGTGTGTGTGTGTGTGTGTGTGTGTGTGTGTGTGTGTGCATGTGTCTGTGTGTGTCTATCTGTGTGTCTGTGTCTCTCTGTGTGCGTCTGTATGTCTGTGTCTGTCTGTGTGTATGTCTTGCAGGGTCCTCTGATTATAAACTTCTTTGGCGTTGTCTTTTAGCCTGTTTTCTGGTATTCCACTATAACAACAGATGCAAGGCTGAGTAACTTCTAAATAAAAGGTTTCTTTGGTTCAGAATTCTGATAGCCAGGGGGTCCAAACAGCCTGGGTGCTGGTGTCCTGGTGAGGACGCCCTGCCGTGGAAAGGGAAGCTGCCGGTTGGCGGCATGGGCTAGTCTCACTCTCTAAAACCTGCTCTCCTGGTGCTCATTCAGCCCCACCAGAGCTAGATCCAGGTGGGTGGGCGGGAGGGAGGGAGGGAGAGAGGGAGGGAGGGGCTCCTGAGGCCAAGGCCCCACAACTTGCTCCTTGCAAACATCACCTCCATTGGGGCCAAGCTCTCAGCACTGGAACTTTTGTGAAAGTAGCCACGATCCAGTCACTGTAGGCATAAAGACCTCCAGCAGTATCTGTTCCGTCAGGGCAGGCAAAGTGGGTCAGTGGGTAAAGGCACTTGCTGTGAAGCCTGAGGGCCTCCGTTTTATTCCTCGGACCCACGTGGTGGAAGGAGAGAGATGACTCTACAAAGTTGTTCCCTGTCCCTCTCCACACTAAATAAATGTAGTAAAGCACCAACTGCTGTTAGTCTCAGAGAACGCTAGACAGCTCTGGTGGACTAAACAGCAGTGACTGACCGGAGAGCCTCCTGACGTCCACATCCTGGCCGTCAACAGAGAGGACACACCGCCTCTAACTCCCGCCCTCACTAGCAAGGGTTCTGAACCTGTTTCTGGTCTGTGAACCTCTTTGCAAACTGACAAAGTGAAAGCGCATCTTTTCAGAATAATTTCTCTCATTCATTTTGTTTATTCTTCTTCAAGGGTCTCATATATGAGGACCAGTGTGGCCTCATACTCTCTATGTAACCAGCCTGAAGTCCTGATCCCCCTGCCTCCACCTCCCCAGTGCTAGGTCTATAGGTGTGCACTACACTCCCAGCTCTTTGCTTTTTATCCCCAGTACCGGGGACTGAACCCACAGTTTGACATATACTAGGCAAGCACTCTCACTGAGCTGTGTCCTCAGACTGCTAGTGTGTGTGTGTGTGTGTGTGTGT